ATAAAAAAAAAAAAAAAAAAAAAGCAACAAAATATAATGTACTTTAAGTTGCACTGTAGTTTATAAGTAAAAAAAAATTCACATACATTTTGAAAATTATAAAACCCAGGTTATTTGTAAAAAAGAGGGAAGAAAGGTAAGAAATTGTATGAAAAGGTGAGTCTGTACCCAACCACCCCCCAACTCAACCCAAGTAATTTTCTACTTAAAAAAACATTTTATGGCCTTGGCCAGTGTAGCTCAGTTGGTTGGGCGTTGTTCTGTGCACTGAAAGGTTGTTGGTTCGATTTCCAGTAAGGGCACAAGCCCAGGCTGCAGGCTCCATCCCTAGTAGGGGGTGTACAGGAGGCAGCCAATCGATGTTCTGCTCTCACATTTATGTTTCTCTCTCTCTCCCCCTCCCTTCCTCTTAAAAAATCAACAAAAAAAAAACCTTTAAAAAAATACATTTTATGGAATCCATTTCTTTTTCTTTTTTTGGAATCCATTTCTTAATGTGTTGTTTTAAATCATATCTATTGATTTAAAAACTAAATATGATAAAGTCCTATTATTCCTTTTTAATAAAAATTGCCCCCATTTCCAACTCAATTACTTACTCTTGTAGACATTTTTCTAATACTAAACTTGAAGTTAAATGTTTTTCAAGTTTTGCCAGTTCAAGCTTGAGTTCTTCATTTCTGGATTTGGTACGAAACAGGTCAGAGGTCAAATCATTCACTGCAGGGAGGAAACTAAAAAGAAAGAATCTGGTCACATAAATGGACATCAAGGACAATAATTACAATTATTCCTTATTTCTAGCAATAATTTTATCTCTAGGTAGGTTCTTCCACAACCACACTGTTTTATACCTCTATGTATTTTGTACATGCTATCCCCATTGCCTGCCAAGCCCTTCTTCAGCTGGCAAACTTTCTTGTCCTTCAAAACGCAAATAAGATTTACTCCCATCCTGGAATTCATTACCCTTTTCTCTGTGCCCTAGTTACAGCTTGTACATTCTTGTTAGGTTACAGCTGTCACACACTGTGTCATAGTTTCACATGCCCACCTCCCTTCTTTGACCATGAGCAGACTGTCCTTCAGTGAATGACTATCCTATTCATCTCTGCTTCCCCAGTGCTATGTATATGTGTGTGTGTGTATATATATACGTATATATGGCATATAACCAGTATTTAGTGTCTGCTGAATTGACTTACGTCTAGATGTCTGCTGCCATGTAACACATGTTCTTATACCTGAAACACTACTTTTGAGCACATATATAAATTCCAAGCCCTTATATTGGCAATTAAGCAGAATAGCTGTACAGTTCTCTGTAAGTTACAGATATACAGTCCTAGCTAAGATATGGCCACCAGTGATGCTCATGTGGACTTCGGAATCAGACAGGGTTTGAATCTCAACCCTGCCATTTACTAGCTCAGAGAAGTTATATAACGCCCCTCTTGAACTTCAGTTTTCTCTTAGGGTTGACAGAAGAAAAATGTCATTATACAGGTGAAATGCCTGTAACAAAGAATAAAGGTCCTTAAACTATTCTACCTAGTAGAGTAGGAACATAACCAAAATTCAGTATGTTCATCCAGATGATTTAGCCTATGACTTTTCTTATTGTATACTTATAGGGAACTGTGTAAGTGATACTTAATACTTTTCCCAATATACATGAGAATCAAGCTTTAAAAACCTAATCCTGGAAGAAAAAAACACTAAAATTTAACCAATATCAAGTTTACCTGAATTAATTATACATACTCATTAGTAATGATAAGGAGTTAATTAAATTCAGTGTTTTGGCATTTACTGTTAATTTCTTACACAGAATTACACTGAGAAACAGAAGGTCTTTTAGGTGAAGACCTTATAACATATACAGTTACCAAAATTAAAACTGTCACAAAAATTACCTAGCTACTGAGGTATCCTTTATTTCAAGGGCCACTGCACTGTCAACCAAAGCATTCAGATACCTAGAACCAATGCTAGAGAGATTGGCAGGGGAAAAGTTCACACTCTCCATGAGAAGGTCTTGAAGATGCTTGGCTGAAAAGATAAAAAGAGTTCTATGACTAAGATGTTTTATTTTAAATTTTTAACAGCTTAACTGAAATCTTTCACATATCATACAATTCACTCACCTAAAGTAAATATACCTGTAATTCAATGGTTTTTAGTATAGTTAGAGCGGCTTACCCATCAATACAATCAATTTTAGAACATTTCCATCCCCCCAAAAAGAAACCCCATATTCCTTAGTAATCATTTTCCCATTCCCCAACCCATGAAGCCCTAGCAACCACTAATATACATTTTGTCTCTGTTCATATGCCCTTTACGGACACTTCATATAAATGACATATCAGCCCTGGCCAGTGTGGAGTGTCCTCCCATACATCAAAAGGTTTTGGGTTCGATTCCCCATCAGGGCACATACCCAGGTTGTGGGTCCAATCCCTGGTCATGGTTCGACATATGGGAAGCAACTGATGGCTGCTTCTCTCTCATATAGCTGTTTCTCTTTCCTCTCTCTGCCTCTCCCTTCTTCTCTCTCTAAAAACAAACTAAAAACTTATCTATATTAAATTAATTTCGCACACTTTAGTGTTATAAAATTTGGTTACTTCTCATTATTATCTCATTCAAACACTCTGGAGTTAATCTCACCTTCTGATTCATATTCACTTGCTTTCTGTTTCAAGTCCTCCGTTACCAGGCGGACATCCCTGTCCCGGACCCTGTTTCGTTCTGAAAGGTGATGTAAAATCTCTGTGGTCCGTGGATTGACCTCATATTGTGGAATAGGATGATCTCCAAATATCTTTTTCAACCACGCAGCAACCTAACAATTAAAAGGAAGAAAAATATTATAAGTCTTGTTTATTGTAATGGCACAAAGCAGGTATTACAAAGAAGCTATCAGAAGCAAACGAAACGCTTTCTCTGAATATTCTGAAGTCCTACTTACTTCGCGTCTTAACTTGTCTTTAAGAAGGTAGATACCAGGTGTCAGGAAATAAGTGAGAAAGCACAAGGAACAAAATTACCAGAAAACAATCCATCCTTTCCCAAAGCTACGAAAACAGCATATAGGCGAATAATTTGCATCACTCCAATCAATCATTTTAAAGCTCAATATTCAGGTGCGAAAGCATTATTATAGGTGCAAACTCTGAAAAAAGAGTTGTGCACAACACACAAGCCCCACAGAGGCTCCTAGGGTTGCGATGCAGGACAGGGAAGCAGGTGGGTGTGAAAATTTTAGTAGGAAGAATCGGTGAACGGCGAGGCCTGGCTGGAAGATGGGTTTTGGTTCAGTAGCCCCACTTCAGTCGGCTGGGAGGGATTTTGTACCAGGGGGCTCCTCAGTTCCTTCTCTAGCCCAAGACTAAGCAGGGGAAGAAAGGGAAAGGCCCTTTCCAGGGCGATCCAAGCAGAAGGCGGACCAAAGAAAAAGAACGCGGGACAGAAGATGGACCCGCGGACTAGGTAAGCAGAGGTGGCGGGCGCAGGGGAACCGTCCGCGGGGAGGGCGTGACAAAGACTCGGCTTCTAGGACGCGGCGAGCCCCGGCTCCCGCCCCTTCACCTGCGCCTCTTTCTCCTCCTGCGCTTCCATAGCCGCCGCTCCCGCCACTTCTCGAGCAGCTCCTCTCGGGAGAATTGCACGGCTTGCCGTGAAGGTCCCGCCCACACGCCGTTGTTCCCGCCCCCTCACGGGCCCGGGATTTCTGGGAGTTGTAGTTTTTAGTAAAGTTCGGGTAGTAGAGGTGGAATCTGACCACGGTGTTCTGGCTCTAACTAGGTGTTTCGGTTTCCTCAGGCTATAGAGACCACACTCCTGTCGAAACCTCTTGTAGTGTACTGTGTTACATTAGGAAAGGTAGACCATGTACTCAACCTTCTGTGATATGTGCTTTAATATCGAATTGTGGATCAGACTTAGCACCAAATATCTTTCTCCTAAGTCATATGCATATTTTTTTTTCCATGATAAGAAACATTTCTATTTTAAAAATGTTGAGGTATTCAAAAAAGTTGCAATTCATCATCTAGAAATATAATAATAAATTTGCATCTTGATTTTACCTCTCTAAGGTTACCTAAATCTATTCTGAGAACCAGATCCACTTCTATTGTGTTTACATAGTCTAGTTTCTAAATCGACATAGTTGAAGGCTATATCTTGGACTGTGGTACTTTGACCAGAACAATGGTATCCCCTGTGGACCCCTCTTGGTGGCCAGCCCATTTTGAGGGGATGACATCTGTGTCTGGCCTTTTGCCCACATCACCTGGTCAGTCATATGCATATTTAAAATGATTAAGCCTTTCTTTTCAAAGGATTTTATTAACAAGCTATACCATATTGTATAGCTTTCTCATTATTTTTGTTTAGGTCAACTATATCTTTGCCTATTAACCAAATTTCAGATAAATTGGTATAGCCCCTGAGTATGGGAGATGGGGGGACTTTTCTTTTATGTCCTTTGTCCACTCTCTTCACTACAAATTTGACAAAGTATCCCTGCACTTTTGTTTTTAAAAACCAATTTTTTGCCTGGCCAGGCGTGGCTCAGCGGTTGAGCGTCGAACTAGGATCCAGGCGATCAGGGTTCGATTCCCAGTCAGGGCACATGCCCGGGTTGCGGGCTCCATCCCCAGTTGGGAGCGTGCAGGAGGCAACTAATCAATGACTCATCATTGATGTTTCTATCTTTCTCTCTCCCTCTCCTTTCCTCTCTCTGAAATCAATAAAGATATATCAAAATAAATAAATAAAATAAAAACCAATTTTTTTTCTTATTCCTACCTATTCCTACCAAATTCCCAGAAAAAGTATTGTCATATTTACTTACTCATGGCTCACCTTGTAAAGGAAGTAGAATATTAGAGAAAGGGATTGCTGACTGTAATTTGCAAGCTATGTTTTAGATGTCCTTTTAAACCTCATACCCTGCTCCCACTTCCCCATTAAGGTTCTGAGTATAAGCCAGGATTTGTTGTATGAAGCTGAAAGGGATATCTTAGAAAGAAGTGAAGGCAATATTAATAGTCTTCACTATCACAAAGTATCCAACATCCCCTCTAAATTCTGTACATATCATAAAAATCTTAGTATCACAAAAATTCTGTGTGTGTGTGTGTGTGTGTGTGTGTGTTGGGGGGGATCCCATTGCAATCTTACTGAGTAGGTACAGAAATTATTGTCATCATTTCTGTTTAAATCCAAATGAAAAAGCAAAGTTCCTACTGTCATGGAACTAGTTGCTGGTAGAGGAAAACTTGAGCCCTAGTCTAGTCTGGAGTGAGACTACTGATTCTGGACCATTCTTGGCAACCACTCTACTGGAACTCCCCTTTTACAATGTTAAAACAATTTCCTCTAAGTCAAAGACAGGATTCAGAAAAACTGGATTCTCCAACTTGAGTGCATTTTGGTGTGGGTTACCAACATTAAGAAATGTCCAAACCTGTAAGAATTTTTATGAGTTTATTTGAGCTAAACTGACAACAACTGCCAGGAAGCAAAATCTCAATGGATTGAGAAAATGTTCCAGAAAATGGCAGTTTTACCACTTATTTTATACTTCAGAGTCAAAGGGAAAGATGTAAGGGGGTTATATCAAATTAATTTGCGATCGATTAGGGAAGTGGGAGAAAGCAAAGGGGGAAATCTCTGGGATTGGATAAAAAGTAAAAGGAATAGACACATAATTCTTTTATACAGGTGGGTATAGGATAGTTAACAATTAACAGTTAACAGGCTTGGGGGAGGGGTGGAGGAGATCAATGGGGGGAAGGGGACATCTCTAATACTTTCAACAACAAAGATAAATTTAAATTAAAAAATTAAAAAATTAATTTAAAAAATTAGGAAAAAACCAATTAACATGCTAATGATAAGCATGAGAGGATTTGTGGTCTCTGGGCAGTTTGGAGATTGTGCCCTGAGGGGGGTCTGGAAAAAGGAATTACTGTACTTAGATCTTCCAAAGGTATGTTATCTTAAATGCAAAAAGACAGAAGAGCCCTGGCTGGTGTGGCTCAGTTGGCTGAGCATTGTCCCATGCACAGAGAGGTTGCCAGTTCCATTCAGATCAGGGCACATGGCCAGGCTGCAGCTTCATCCCCAGGAGGCAGCATGGATGCTCTGCTCTCACATCAATGTTTTTCTCTCTCCCTTCCTCTTTCTCCAAAATCAATAATATGTTAACATGTTTATATTAAAAAAAAAAAAAAAGATGGTAGACATTCTCAGTTAAGGTAAAGATTGACCCTTGTCAAGGAAGCTAGCAGCCTAGGACAGGACTACCAGACATGACTCTCTTTTAGTTAAGAAATTTTAATTTCATACCATCCTATGTGGTTACTTTTGGTCTCTGAGTTTATAAGGCTGCCATGCAGGCCTCCCCTGAGCTTCTCAGGTTTAGTGTGTGGCCCCTTTTTCCTCCACAGGGTGCTTGTCAAAATTTTCCACAGAGAGGGTCAGGGGTGGAACCCCATTGCTCTAAGGATCACCCTTTTTTTGCAGAAAACTGTTTAGTAGCCCTAGTCTCAGACCGGACACCACCAACCCGCCTCAGGGTCAACCTACCTGCCGGGCCCTCAGACGGGGTGCCAACAACACCTCGCACCGGGCAGGGGGATGCCACCATCACCTCCTACCACAACATGGCCAGGGAACTGCTTCATAACTGCTTCTGCTACCCACGTGGGCGCCCCGGGCAGCCACAAGGTCAACTGGAAAGACCAAAGTAAATGTGTAACCAATGCCTGGGAGGAAGCTGGCAAAGGTCTACTCATTCATTTTTTAAGTTTAAATCTAAAAATAACACTTTAA